CGGTTAACGGTGCGCTATCGTAGGTCAGGTGGCAGGAGCTTTGCCTGTACTCAAGCCTAGCCCTTGCTTCCCCTCACGACAGCGGAGTTCCCCACAGTTGGTTCGAAGGAATTATTCGAATCTAACCAAAGCATCAATTAAAGACAAGACAGATCGAAAGGGCCATTTCCCGGTTATTAGCCGTCATCTGCCCGCCGTTCCCAATCCCATGTTTGTAAACTCGAGAAACAAAAGCTTTTTCCTCAGACCCCTTTGTTCATTCCCACATTCTCTCTCTCTCTCTCTCTCGCCTGCCCTCTATTCGTGAAGGCATCCCTGTTACCTGAAAGTTATTCTTTGACCGTCAACGAATTGAGGCACACCTGTCGCAAATCCGCTCGTTCAGCCGTAATTGGCCCTAACCGGACCCCCCGCGTCTGTTTATCTTACCGCGTTAGGCTGTGAGAGGATGACACCGGCACACTCAATATAACAGCAGTACCTGAAACTGTAAGTATGCAGGGCAGAGGAGACTCCTTATCCTAACTGTAACACGACAACTTCGGTGCAGGCATGAATGCTGACGCGTGGGTGACCTTTGAGGGCATTACCGAATTTCTTCAAACGTCACTGGACAAGGGGGCGAGGTGTGTGTGGGGGAGGGGAGATGGCAGATGTAAATCAGGGATCAGACGCGTAAAAAGGGATATCAAACTCCCCTGGAAGGGAGTCATTTACACTAAGTGACCACTCACTGCATTGAGATGAAGGGAGACGACGAACGGAACGCCTACGACAACACTGCGCCGTTGGCTGTCGCATGCTTGTGCGTACGCACCGGCAGCAGTGCATTAACTGACATCCTGCATGGTGCCTCCATAACAACCAACCCCTGAAACTGAGAGCCCCTTTCTCCTGTTCGCGGACTCACTCAGTGACACCGTAGGTGTGCCTCGCGTCTGGCCTCCAACTTGCTCCAACTTATTCCTCCTCCGCTCTGCACAGCATGAAACCCTCCCTCCTACTTGGCACCTGACCTAAGACTTTTCTCTCGACTTAAGTCGCCGCTATAAACTCGATCTCTGAAAGTCGAGTCCAATTTTTTACTTAGCGCAATTTCAGGAAGGCGTATAAACGAAAGTACCCGCTCGAAGGAAAACTAAAAGTGAACAGCAAAGTACCTCGGTCTTGCTGATCTATTTCAAGCGGCAGTGAACAGTGGAGAATATTTGACTAAAATAATTGACAGTGCACAGGCAGGAGTGCAAGGATCGGCTGAGCAATTGATGGAAGGATGCCTGTGGAGAATGCCCGGGGTATAGCTGACATGCGTCTTGGGTCTGGGGAAACACTTCCAGAAAACGTCAATCTCAGTTCAGTCGGCACTCGCATTTCTTTCCTGCCTGGCCGAAGAAGGTAATTCGGATAGAGAGTAATTTGAAGATCCCTTACACGGAAGGTCGCATGTCTTTGAACGCCTCTGCTCCCCTGCAACGCATACAGATTATTCAAAATCAGACAAAATAAAAAATGGTCAGTATGACGAATAAAGAATATAGACCGGACACTGGGGATGTTATCCTCACGGTAAACCTCCTCACTACTCACTAAAATAAAAAGCTACCTCGATTGGACCTATCAGAACGCGCCGAGAGTCGTGGTCTGGAGGACTGCCAACTGGTTGGATATCTCCGTACTTCTCAGAACTAACAGTCAGGCGACAATGACTGCTTTCGGTGTGGCCTTTGTGGGACTCGCATGCAGATGAGATCCGATTTTTTCCTTACAGATGCCTGGCATACAGTAACTAACGAACTAACTCATGAAATGTCGGCCGACATTTCGAAATGGTTCTCGTTTCGAAAAGATAAGTTTAGTAGGGTTGTAAAACTAACACTCGTACAGCGTAATTCTATAAAAAATCAATTACCACAGGATGCCGGCTTTTAAACTAATTTATTTCCGACAGCATGTAAAAATTACACACTGCATAAAATGGCTATTTGAGTAGCATGAATTTTTCTCATTGATTTTCGATGCCCTTAAAAATTCAATTATACTTCATGAAAAAATGCATAAAATACTCATTCTTTTATTTATTCGGTAGAAAATTACGTCTTCTTTCAATTTTATACTCAAAGGAGGATTATAATTCGGTTTCAAAAAGTATCTGATTGTGAGATTTTTTAGTACCATGAAATGGCGATTCATAAAACGTCATGTATCTACATTTACTAATGTGACTTGTAAAGTTAACAGTATTGCTCAAATCCACTGCTTAATTTTATGAACCCATATAGTCTCCTCTTAATAGCGTAATGTACGGTTTTCCGTACACGGAAAATATACGGCTTGTAGTTTTAAAACCCTGAATGCAATTCTAACAGCAGGTCGTGTTCAGAATTATTCGGGGATCAGAAACGTTTTTTTAAACCGTATTATATTCTTCCGTCGGATAAAATATTGGATGAATTACGCTATTTTCTATCGAATAAGTAAAAGATTGAATATTTTATGGGTGTTTTCCATGAAATATAATTGAATTTTCAAGGGCATCGAAAATCCGTGAGAAAAATGCATGTTAATCAAGTAGTAATTTTTTGCAGAGCATATTTTTTGCATGCAGCCGGAAGGAAGTTCATTCGAAAGCCGGCATCCTGCGGTAACTGAATTACTATAGAATTATGTTGCAGGTTGACTAGATTTACAACACTACTTAATTGATCTTTTCGAGACGAAAACGCATTTCAAAATTTCGGTTGACATTTCATGAGTTTGACCACCTATTTTATGTAGAGGGGTTCAGGTTGTGGCGTGCGCGTCTGCCACTGTTCCTGCGCCCACCACTGGCTGTCATGACTCACGTGAACTCTAATGCTGGCGAATGTAGTGAGTGCCGAGTGTGCCGGAACGTCCAGGGGCGGCTCCGGCAGTGCCAGTCACCTGCGCCCTCTCTTTTCTCCGGTCTTTTCGAAAATGTCTTGACACCGGTCCCACGTGGAGGTGTAGGGGAGGTTGCCGTAGATGCTGTGCAAGTCTACTATCACCATAAATTAATTCACACTCAAGCCTCTGATGTGAAGCACGCGGTGGGCATCGCCGAAACCGATCGTCGGGCTATCGTGTGGGGCACACATAAAAAACGGGTTGTTTAACTTTGTCATCCACTGCTGTTTACGTATGTAGACTCTAATGCTAAGTAGAGGTGTCTGAGAAACCGGGAAAATTCGTTCGCCTATTCAAAGCCCTTGCTTAAAATAAGTAGTGTGTTTTCCTACACTCATCATATAAATCTTGCGTTTTCATAAGTTCCTCTGAATATAACAGCTAGCATATACATACGATTAATCGTTGTCTTGGGGGTCAGAAGATGGCTACAGGACTTGCCGTGAAATTCACTCGTATGCTCAACTGACTAGCATACAGATCACAGACATAGTGGGGGTTTTCTCCTCCTGCAATATCGATATTTAAGGTGCAGGATGATTTGCGAGAAAATGTGAAGCCCAAGATAGTGATGAAGAAAGCATCATCCGGCGGTTCGTGAACGTTCCGCGGTACGTTGCGCACCCTGGCGAGCAATGACTGGACGTTTATCAGAGGATGTAGGAAAAGATAATCGCAGTAGTTATCGCCTAGAAAGAAAGCAAATGCGATTAAAGTTACTTTCAGCCTGCCAGTTCCGACGAAGTTGAGCACAGATTGTCAGTTTCGTGTTCGAAAATCCTACAAGTCTAAGCAGGAATATAGAACACCAGTGTCGTGTGGTCGACCAGCCGTATGCGAGAATATGAACCCCCCGGTCTTTAGGCGGCCTATCGCAAAATCCAAGGGGCGGGGGGTTGGTGCCTATTCCCATGTCATAATCTTAGCCCACACCGCCTCTAACCCTTATCCCAATCCTCGCTAGCCCTCATGCGAACCCTCCTGACTCTAACCTTGACTCTCCTGGAGTTTAGAGCAAGGCCACTGGCAAGGGGGGGGGGAGAAGTGGGTCCATGACCCCATGACCACCTGTTTCATCTTCATGCAACCAGTTCAAGGGGATCGTCAGAAAAAGGGTAACAAAACCGAACTGTCTCATTTGTGAGCCTGAAGTTAACCGCGTCTTACCTACTTCCAAATCATGCGTCTGGAGACCTGTTAACCAGTCTCACAGCACTTTAAATGGCTTATGCAGTCTGGTTTTTAATGAATAACCCCTTTCAAACTGACTTGTCTGCACGCACTATACTGAAGCCGAGTCACGGAAAAACTGAAAACAGGTAATGCTAAGGCGACTGGCACGGCTCATGACGGGTTATTCAACGTTCGAGAACAAACTCCATGTTCAGGAATGTCGAACAAAACACGGCCTACTTAAACACATATAGTAGGCATTTTTTGTACGTCGTAGATTCGTCGGGGTCCTTGCCAGATCCTTGCCCAGGTTTATTTCTAGATAACCCACCAACCAGGCGTTTTCACTTAATGCCACCGGTTCTGCAAGGACTTAGAATCGGGCACAGACAAGACATAAAAATGAGCATGCTATAACTGAGCGTGGGCCAGAAAGAAGCTTTAATTGCACAAAACTGACTTGTCGCATAAGAGTCGATTTTCGGTTTGATTTATAGTAAAGGTCAGTATTCTGATAATTCTACTCCGCCTCCTACCAAATTACAATAGTTAGCAATGCCACTCTAACCCAGAGAATTGTCCATGCTTCTTGATGTAATTCCCATCTAAGAGGAGACCGACCAGTCTGTACAAGTAGTGCGGCCTACAGCCAGTTGGGGTGGCCACTGGTTTGCATTGCGTTAGAAGTCAAGATGGCAATCACGAACGCTGTCGACCAAATCAGTGATAAAATATTGCTCTGACTATGTGCCATGTAGGAGTCAGCACTTGGTTACGGGAAAAGCAGTTAGAAATGTATTGAAGAGAAATCACCAAAGGATGTCGGAACAAATAACGTCCGCTTGCGCACAGTTAGTTAATATAACTGATGTATAAAGGAGTAGAGACGTTTGGAAAGCGAAGATTACTCAGTATAATACCTGAACATAAGACTCCGCACGCCATTAAGACAAGGTTTGCAGCCGCGACTTGATTCATATTCGCGACAACACGCAGATCACTCACTCCTTCAACGTGAATCTTTTACGTATGACAATAACCAATAAGGGCCCGAAGTGAAAATGCCACAGTCATTGGACACCCAGAAGTCATGTCATAGATACAAGATATTTCGTAAAAAACCCATATTATAGGTTATTTTGTGAGCAGCAGCAGCAGCAGCAGCAGCAGCAGCAGCAGCAGCAGCAGCAGCAGCAGCAGCAGCAGCAGCAGCAGCAGCAGCAGCAGCAGCAGCAGCAGCAGCAGCAGCAGCAGCAGCAGCAGCAGCAGCAGCAGCAGCAGCAGCAACAGCAGTCTTGTCTCTGTTCTGACAAAACCACCTTCTTCACTGGGTTTGTGAACCTTTGAGATCACTGCTGAACAGCGCGTTGGCTGAAACTGTTTTGAACCCATAATGTCTGCAAAACTCTAAGGTCAGGTGAAGTTAGGGGGAGGCAGATAAGACCTCCAGGCGTTTTTACAGCTCTCTAAAAGAAATAGGTCAAACTGTCACGAAAGCATGCAAGCTACTCATTATCCGGCAAACACATTTAGATGTCTGTTATAAAGACTTTGAAGTGTCGACAGGCAAGCCGCATATTTGCAGTGCATATGAAGTACACGCTCAATGTATTTTGCAGCATATGAAAATAAAATTCTCAGATGGTTCTGTTGGACCACAGCCTTTGGAGTTTAATTGATAGAGTTGTCACAGTATCGTGTGGGGATTTGCTAGATCATGCGCTATTGCCCTCTTTACCCAGGATACCTACAATGTCACTCTGTTTTCAGCTAAGCTGATATTAATTTTCTTACTTGTAGGTACTGCGCTTGCTTACTAAGATTTAAGAAAGCCGCCATACTCCCCAAACTTCTTATAAGCAAGTTAACGAAGATGGTGCCGACGGAAGAAGGAGGAAACGCAATGTATCACCTGCTCCCCCTGAGACCGGCTGAATGTTTGAATGTAGCGACGATTGGAAGTACGTCAGCGTGCACAGTAAAACCTCATTCCAAATGATTTGCTCTAAGTTGGTGGATTTGTTTTGGGGAGATTAAAAAATTGAAATTTCGAGACTGGAGTATTTGCCAGGAAACGCATGGTGGACGCTGGGGTGGAGCACTGATAAAACAAACACCTCGCATCTGTGTCAGATGGCGTGAGAATATCCGTAAAACACGTGTCTGGGCTCCCAGCTTGTACCTGCATCGGCCGTTCGTTCGAATTGTCATCTACTTCCCACTTCTCTCACGCCTCGTTTTACGAAAAAAACTTCATGCTCTGTCCCAGATCAGACTTATATGAACACTCGGATCAAAATATGTGCATGGCAATGCGGTCTAGGCGTGTTCGGTTCATACAGATGCCTGTAATTTGGATATATTTTGACGAAGCAAATTAGCTTGTGTGGGTAAGATGTGGTTATGTAGCCCCACCTGATGGACATAATACTGTTGAGGTTGGGGTTAGGGATAGGGGTTAGAGTTAGGGGTTAGGGCAACTACTTATCAGCCACTCAAATTAAAACCGCGCTTTCCCAATAGCTTCTCTTTTGCATACAACTACTTGACCTCTTCGCCCGTGCGTCCACCGACCCCACCTGTAAAAAGCCCCACTACCACCGGCCCCGTACTACGGGTGACTGGGGTTCGCTTACCTCATGTGGGGCTTTAAAACCACATCTGACACCGGGGTCGGCTGAGGAAATATGAAGCTTTTGGAGCGTCAGTATCACAAAGCACACTGGACGCCAGCAGAATAACGGACAAATCTTCTGTTCTTTTAATTTTTGCAAGATCATGAGGAAGATGCATGCAGCTCCAGATGCTTGTAAATGTACTCTTGTTTGAAGGTGGGCAAAGTTTGTTTATTAGGTACTTTTCCAGGTGATACGTCGTCGGACCTGTAACAGATCTACCAAATTATTCCTCAAGCACTGAGACCATCTACAACAAACACAGAACTTTGTCTCAGAGGTTTCAAGATAACCTGGAAGTACATTTTCGATATTTGGGATTAATTAACTGCTGGTATACCAGTATGTGACGCAGCCAAATTAGTCTTAAGTGCGCCAAGCGGGGGGCCTGACAGGTGTCATAGCATGGCAGTTTGCTCAGTTTTCGTGGGGAAGATGTCAGGTGCAGGTAATCGATTTTGCGCTGGGCATTGCCTACTAGTTGTAATAAAGTAGTTTTTGCAAAGACAGAGTTTATAAATAGATTTCAGAGGGCTTCTCTGCCGATCAGGATATTCTAAATTTATGAGAAGCAGACAGCGACGGAGCATTTGATATTATTTTTAAACGCTCCTGTTCACCGTTGTCGACACAGTCGGAGTAGTGAAAGCCATCTAGTCCAACTTTGCAGTTACCCACGGCAGACCAAAAACAACTCCCCTGACAGACTTCGTCATACTGGCTGCCATCGAAAGCTCAGGTTCCATAGGCAACAGCTGTAGAAAGCCATGTCAAATAAAACGACAGTACTAACAAGCGCAGACAGATACGATCGATTTTTTTTTAACGAACGGGACTATATGCATTTTTCTAACGAAGTGCTTTGGAAGTGATTGAAGTCTTAAAAAGACAGAGGATTGAATGCACGCCTACCTACGGTAGTGCAACATAAGTTGCAACCAAAATTTTGCGCAGACATTTGACGCAGAACTTGGTTGAACGTGGTCAGTTTCGAATAGAATTATGTCACCGGAATTATTGAATGTTCCAAAAGTGGTGAAAAAACACCTTGAAAAACGCAGAAGTCGCTGTCACTACGGGACCAAGATGTCCGAAATCAAAACCCGAAGAGTTCGGCTGAGATGTAAAAATTAAGCCGCAATGTACACGCTACTAGGATTATTAAAAGTAACAATGTTTTACGTAAATGTAAATTTTGAGCCTACATTAGACCAATAAGGTGGGTTGAAGTGGGGGCAAGAACCGATAGACTTTGTCTAAGATAAGATATGCAATGCTCGCGTTCAAACATCGACACCCGCACAGGGACCTTCGCCATTTCAAGGAGCAGTCTCTCACAAACTGACTGGAGGGTGAACAGCTGACGGCTATTATACTGCCGATCGCTGTGACGAATAAGGTGGTGAACTTGAAAAAGTAGTAAACCTCAACCAACAAGATTAAAACTTCAGAAAAGGCCGCCAAATAAGTCAGAAGGAAACCTAAAAACTAATTTAAGTTCGGCGTAAAAATTATTTGATTGATGGACCAAAAGGTGTCCCAGGGAATGTTGTCTATCGAGGACTCTTAAATAGTCGGACTATTTTAGACGTATCATTAATTGTACTGGCTAAAAGAAACTGACTAATTTCCCTCTGGAATAACATGGGATTCCACAAGCATGTAGATAGTCAGATTCCAAATTCAGAATTCGTTGTAGTTATTGGCACACGTCCTTTTCAGGGGATAGAAAGTGGGCTCAACATTCACTGTCATAATAGTTGCTAAGGTTATGGCCTTCGTCGCAAATTGGGTCGGGGTAACATGTTCAGGGAAGAGAGACGGGAAAAAGAATGAAACTAACTGCACATGCACGTTCTACTGGTTGCAAAGCTCTTAATAGAGGTATCGGAAATCTTTGATTAGTAAAGCTTTTACAACGCGCTCGAGATCTGGTTGTGTTGTTTTTACGACTTTTTCGGTGTTGTTCATGGAATTTTCTTTGCCATCTTTGACTCCTCGCGAAATCAACGCAGTCTTCGCCCCCTTCTACTCGCAATCAATGTATTTATTAGACAGAGGCTAACTACCATCGACATTTTCACCTCATGGTCTGATTCACATTCCCGCTCATGTAAAAAAGAGGGCAACAAATGGCACACAACTACCCTCTTAGTTGGAGGCTAATGCCTTTAGTAGCGGCCATCCATCGCCAATCAGTCTATTTGTGTTCCAAACGTGTGCAATGACCAAACTCATTTGTATGTCCGAAGGTAAACTACACCCGCGCTTCTACTTCAGGAGCTCTTGTCAATGTGTATTTAATGCCTGCTGAATGTTTATTTTGGTACTATGCGTAAACTGACGTTGATGAACCCGGATGTTCCTTGCCCATAAATTTGAAGCACTAAAATGTTGAAGTCTCTGAGTTCAGGCGAATTTCATCCAAGTTTCTCTGAAAATGGCCAGAGAACTTTACGCACATCTAGCAGTAACTTTTCAAAATTAATTTGGCGCTGCAGTACTTCCTGTTGAATGGAATTTGACGCAACTTTCTCCACCAAACTAAATGGAGGTGGAACATCGGCGACAACTTACAGACCAATTAGCCTGGTGAGTATTCTCGACAGAGTCATAGAGAACATGAAATGTGAATAGATGCATGTTCTAGAGATTCGCAACCTGCCATCGACTACCAACACAGTATCCGGAATGAAATGTCTTGCATGATCAACTTGCTGCAATCTCCCAGAAGCCCTCAAAGACAGGCAGACAATCCACACTGTTTGTAATAACTTTAAAAAAGATGCTCGATAACAGACACTGATTTACTAATTTAAAAGAATATGGATCAGAGATAGCTTCCCCACATTGGGCGAAAACGTTCTCGAGGTTCGGCGTCAGGTACTTTGCATTCATAAAGATTAATCTAATATTGCTGTGGTTGGGAGTGGGAGTTCACTACAGAGACTCATTTTCCCCTGATATAGTTGGGCGATTGCATAAGCCATTTGAACCCTTGTCAACGACATGAAAATTCGGAGTGTAATCCGGTCATTTCTGGTGAAGCTAGACTGCAGATGAAGCGAAATCGGCTGGAGAAGGAATGAAGTCATTGGCTTCCTCGGGCCATCATGTGGGTCTTTATGGATTTTGACGAGGAACTCTTCCGCAAGATCTTGAAAACGTTAGTGAGGCCTCGTTCGAAGTACGCCTTGAAAGCCTGGAGACTGCGGACAGTCCGATACCAGCATAATTCCGAAAGAGCCCTCAGTAAGGCTTTGGTAATGGTTAGGGTTCCAAGCTCCTTGTCTTATACAGCCGCCAAACAAAACTGGATATATTGCACTTGGTTTATTTGTAAATGCGCAGCGATATTATACAATCCTTGCGAGGTGCGGGAGAGTTGTCTTGACGGAAAACGCTCGGACATTCGAAAGAAGACTTCACAAATTTATACTTGGTGACCACATATTTTGCTCTAACACAGCAGTGAAATACTCGTCGACCACAGCGAAATTCGAAATCATGAGAGCAAGAGAGAGGCATTAACACAGCCAATGCTCTAGTCGCCTGAGCTTCGAGGCATCACGGGGAGCCGCGAAATTAATCACATTTCGGTCAATTTCCCCGCCTAGTCTGCTGCAACGGACGAACTCCACTACCTACACCTTGATGTCATGGGCTCGAGTC